GACGGCTGGCTGGCCGGTCGCTCGGCTCGCCTTGCCATGTGTGCTGATGCCGGTACCGGGCCGCGGATGATTTTGTGATGCCGGTACCGGGCCGTGGCACAAAAAAGGTTGGGGGCCACTGTTATAGAGGGCCACCGTATCTGGACTACACATATTTGGATAACTATGAGATTGCAATAGACCTAGAAAAACTATTTTCTGCTGCTCAGCATTGTCTGGCTTTTAGCAGCTCAAATATAGTGATTCCAATACTGATGTGGAATAGCAAGAACTTCCATTGTTAGCACTTTTTGTGTTTTGGTCAATAAATCCTTGCATCTAATTGTATGTAAATAGTTCTACAACTCATTTTTAATTGAACAAAGTGTATGAGTTTGACAGTCTCATTCTCCATTCTTCTATTTGCAAGAAATTAAAGTATCAGTTTCTGATATTTATACTTCAATATTGTTTGAATTCTGTCCAAAGGAAAAGCTATGAAGAATTACCACTAGAACTCTCAGTCAGAAACTTATTCTTCACTGAAAGTGGTTGTATCATTTCAAGAGAGGGAAAAGTGGTGATATCATTTCAAGGGAGAGAAAAGAGAGAAGCACAATGGTAGGAAGTGTTTTAAATAGAACATTGTTTTACTACAAAATTACAGATGTCAATCCAATTTATTTATTTTTCCAGTCTTCATATCAGCAAACAGAGCTTCCATTCAATTTCCATATGAGACTTAAACTTGACAGTGAATTCTCCAAAGCGGAAACGTATGAGAGTAAACATTTAGCAAATGGTTATTACAACATACTATGAGATAAATTCAGTTTACCGGGATCTTTTGTTGTTGTTTTAAAAATTAAATAATGTATTTCATAGCTTTATTCACTATTGAATATTAAAACTGTGTTTTATTTAAAACAGTTGGAAAAATAGCAATTTCTAACCCACACCAACACAATAGTATTTAAAGTGAAGAATTGTGTGGATGATCTTTGTAATACATCTCTCTATCTGGAATTCTTCCATTTCCCTTTAACACCAGTCTGTCATTATAGACATAGATAGTTCCAAAAGCATTGGTTTCTGGAGGAGTTTCTATAATCCCTTCAAGAGTCAAGTGATGGACTCCATGAAAATCTAGACAGTAACCACCATAATGAAGATGACCTGCAAGAAAACATACTACTGAGCGATGTGAATAAATGACAGCAAGGGCATCTTTATAATTCCAAGCCAGGCAAATACTGCTTGTGCAGTGTGGGTTGATGGGTATGTGTCCTGCAATACAAGAAGAAATGCACTCAAAATAAATGAAATACCATGATTTTTGTCCACACATGAAATCTACAATAGTATAACATTCCCCAGGACTTAACTAAAATTGGATACCCTTAGCTCAAATCTTAGTTCCTTATGTAAACTTGAAAGCTGCCAATTCTTAAACTGCCTTCCAATTTGTAATATGGGAATAATACCCAAATAGGAATACTATTATGGAATACTAGAAGAATAGAATTCAGTGTAGGGATATTGAAATCACAGGAACAAAACACTTGCCCTGAGAATATTCAGAATTCTTCAAAAATCTGATTGACAAGTAAATGCAGGAATAGACATATTTTTTACAATTTACGTTGTAAATACTGATTTAAACTTCTAATCATTAAAATGTTTAGAAGAAGCAGAATTGGAAAATTAGAAGTAATTCGGCTCCTTTTCCAATTCTCCCCCCCTCTCCCTTCTTTTTGGGAAAGCTTTGATTGCAAGATGCAAAATAAGAAATAATGCAATGTATGTTCATTCTCTCTTGGGTCACAGTCTGCTGTTACGTGTCTTCATTTAGGTGCATAAAATCAGTTCAAAAAAGAATTTCTCAGAACTAGTAATATGGATGGAAGTGGAAAATTGTTATTTCAACTGAAAACAAAACTCAGCTATATGTTTAGGTCTGTGTCACACTGTTTCAAGTCAGCAGCCAAATATTCGGTAAGTGCAGGTAGATGATTAACAAAAATAATTGTCAATGATTTTATGTACTATGTTGATTTTAATGTCTTTAATGCTTTCATGTATTATGCTGTAAGCTGCTCAAAGTTGTTGATTACAAGATGGGCAGCAATTAAATTTTCTAAATAAATAAATACCTATTACTTCCTTTCTCTTACTTCCTTGAGCCGTGATGACGCAGTGGTTAGAGTGTAGTACTGCAGGCTACTTCTGTTGACTGCCTGCTGCTTGCAATTTGGCAGTTTGAATCTCACCAGGCTCAAGGTTGACTCAGCCTTCCATCCTTCCGAGGTGGGTAAAATGAGGATCCAGATTGTTGGGGAGCAATATGCCGACTCTGTAAACCACTTAGAGAGGGCAGTAAAAGCACTGTGAAGTGGTGTATACAGTAAGTCTAAGTACTATTGCTATTCTCTACTGTGCAATTCCCAGGGAGGGGTGAGAGGCAAGCCTGCCCCCAATTTTTCCGATATGTTCTCTCTGCCCCTTTAACTATAATTGTTGCTGATGTCCCAGCAAAGTGTATTCCACTGGTCTGCTATCTCTTGATCTTTCCATCTCCTTTCCTTTCTTGAAATATTCAAAGCATACACAGTTCAGTTCAGGCAGCAAACACACCAAACCAGCAGAGAACACATTCTTAGTTAGAATGGTAAAACCACAGATATTAAGACTAATTATTAAAAATACAGCCATACCTGCAATCACAACTCTCTCTTGATTCTCATCAGCATAGGTAAGAACTTTATCAACCCAGTCCAGCTGGTCTTGACTGAATCCACCATTGAACTGTACAAAATTGCATTCAGCAAGCCCTGTAAAAAAATGATGGGAAGTTATATAACAGCAACAATTTTTATTAAGGTCATGTATCAGTACCACAAACACGCAAACAATATTTTTAGTTTGAAATGCACTTTTTATGAAGAATTAATGAATAATTGCCAATTCCAGAAATGTGTGTTAAAAGCAAGGTATCCCTCGCTTTTTTAAAGGATCAAACTAAGCCTAGTAAGTGAAGAAAATGGAATTAAGAGTTTCCTGGAGGTAGAAATATGTCATTGTCTCTATTGATATTTTAATCAGGTTACATAAAAAATTAATAAATTATTATGTAATTGGAAACATATTAATACTGCAGCAATCATACAGAACACATCAATGTTTGTAGGTAGTAAATTCAGCTCTACCTCCCCTTTCCTAATTAGAGATTATATAAGTGTCATAATACTTTATTGTCTAGCTTAATTTTGTGGAACTTTCTGTGTGAAAAAGTTGAAAAATGAAGATTCTATGGGGTGATGTCCATGTCCTATACTTTAAAGGAATATCAAGAAAATAAGCCCACTTATGACTCTGTAGTAAATGGGTTCATGTTAAGATTATCATAAAACTTGGTATTGACAGACTTAACATGAGTCCTAAAACTCCCTAAAAGTTCCCTAAAAGAATAAATGAAGGTATTTTCATATTCGTTAATAGCAATTTTTTTTCATCCATACAAAACCAGCTCTTTCACAGACCATGACTGTAAAAATGTATAACAATTATGTTCAACAGAATATAATACCTAGTGGACTATTCAGATTTTCATTCGGATTTTTGTCTTGTAGCAGCCGTAGAGATTCTTTATATTTTTTTGTTGATGTTTCCCTCCCCAGAATACTTAAGTCGTATGCATCAAGAAGAATGAATCGAAATTTAGGCATTGGAGAAAATTGGTAAGCATAATAGAACTCTGTAGTTGGGTTTTCTGTGGAGCTCTGTTCTCTGACAAAGTTATTAAACAAACTTTGGTCTTCTAAGAACTTGGTATTCAATTCAGATTCCATAAGATAATTCCGGCTGAAATTATACAATTCATGATTGCCCCATATGTGATGGACTGGTGCACTGAGTTTCTTAAATTCCTTCATAACTTGTTGCAGTGCTTTCTCTGATGTCTTATGTTGGGCATTGAAGCCATCAATGATGTCTCCAAGCTGTATTACAAACTGAACCTCAGTTCGATTCCAATCGTCAATTGCCTTCTGGAGACAGCATAGGCTATGCTTATAATATCTCCTATTGAATCCCAGGAAATCATAGCCATCCTCTATATCAGCATATTGAATGTCTGCTATGAGTCCAAAGGAGAAAAGCGCTTCCGACGTTGTTCTTGTGGATCCTGCATCCATTTTGCAAAAAACTCTTGCTTAGAACTAAGGGAAGGAAGAAAAGAACAGATGAATTGTTTGGATGGTAAATCTGCTGAGATAACATGTAAGTCTGTAGGAATGCTTTACAGTTTTTGATAGACCTGATGATCTTTTCAGCAAATTGTATTTCATGAAGATAGAACATATTTTCAATGGCACAAATTAAAACTGCATTCATGTACAGTTCTTTTTCTCCCAGATTTATATAAGTAACTGCTTGCAATCTTATCAATTTGTATTCTGTCAACCCAGTAGTTTAGACTGGGAAAACTATATTCAGCAGAAGTCTACATATACCTATTAAGAACACAACACTCTCACTATTACTACATGGCCAAGCTAAGAAGCAGTACTATAGGTAGTTTAGTGAGTCATGCCTGATATTATGACATTTTTGCTGTAATTAAGTGAATCATGCAGTCATTAGAAAATATGACTTCTCCCATTGATTTCGCTTGTTAGAAGCAAGCTGAGGTGGGAAAAAAATGAAATGTTGATTTTGTGTTTAACTGATTAGATTTGTTGATACAGAAATGGCTAGTTTATAATAATATTTTCAAGTAAAAAGTTGGAATCTTAATGTTATTATATTCTGTAATCGGAAATCAATTATTTTTTCTTTCTTTTTTTCCTTTTCTACACTTTTCCCTTCCCTTTTTCCTCCCCTATTTTTCATATTATTTGTTTTTGTATTTTATATTATAGACTAATTTAAAAAAAAAGAAACGTGGCTTCCCCCATTGATTTTGTTGGTTGGAAGCTGTCTGGGAAGGTCATAAATGGCAACCATGTGATCTTGGGACACTGCAACTTGTAAGTACATGCCAGTTGCTAAGTGCCCAAATTTTGATCACATGATTGCAGGGATGTTTTGATAGTCCTAAGTCAAAATCATTTTTTTCAGGATAGGAGCCCTAAAAAAGATCGAAGCCTTGGACTAGTCTGGAAACCCAAAGCTGTACATTATTCTGGAAGAAGACAATAGCAAAGTATTATTGCCATGGATATATTCATAGCATGAATCTCTAGCAACTGAACATAATTCTACTTCTACCGTGGGTAAATACACATGTATGCAGTCTTCATGTATGCAGTCTTCATTATCAAAGCCTGGGGTTGCTAATAACTTATAGCTAATATGATTGCATACTGTCATGTTATGTCTTCCAATATAGTACCATAGACAACAACATCTGCTTATTCCAGGTCCTTGGTAGACCAGATTGAGAGGTGGGTAAAAATGCCAAATTCAGTACATCTGGCTGACTGTATGACTGTTATAATAAACCTTTAGATATATGATGTTTTATTTATTTATTTATTTGATTTGTCAATTGCTTACAAGATAATAGGTATAAGTATAAATATGAGTAAGAATACATGAAATGGATACATATAAGAAAAATAAAAAGAAACAATAGGACAGCAATGGTATGCATGCCCCCTACAGACCTCTTAGGAAAGGGGTGAGGTCAGTAAGTGGTGACATTCTAAGGTTAAAGTTTTTGGGGTTTGGGGAAAAAACCAGAGTCAGAGTATTCCAAACATTGACCACTCTGTTGCTGAAGTCGTATTTTCTGAAATCAAGTTTGGTGTGGTTTACCTTGAGTTTGTATTTATTGTTTGCTCTTGTATTGTTATGGTTGAAGCTGAAGTATTCGTTGACAGGTAGGACACTGCAATGTATGATTTTATATACTATACTTAGATCAGACTGAAGGTGGTGTAGTTCTAGTTTTCTAGGTCTAGAATTTCATCATCGCCAGATGTTTTCATCAATGCCAGACAAGCATAGCCATGATGAATGAGGATTGTGGCAATTGTAAGTATCCTGGGAAATATTAGGTTGGGTGTTTCTTCAAAGAGATCCCAAACCTAGATTTGTTGTTAACTAAGGAACTTTTCTTCCGTTTAACTCTTTTCCTTTTCTGCAACAGAATAGGAAAACCCTCTGGGTCAAAAGCGCTACAAATTACTTACATTTTCCAAGAATGAACCTGAAGATTTCCAACTAGCCATCCGCACATATGTTTCGGTTAGTCTTGCATTTCAACCTAAGCATGGTTACTTTGGATGCAAGCGATCTGTCGCGCTCAAGTCGCTTGACGTTTCAAGCTGTGTTTCTTTTTCCCAGTTAAAAAAAAGGTATTAAAATGCCGACGGAAGTGATTTCATTTCCTTTCCTTCGCCATAGAGCTATGACTATAAAATCTGTATGTAGCGTAGCGAGAGCGACTCTTAAATGCTGCAAAGAGATCGTCCCCGGTTCTTTCCCTTCCTGTGATCTCTCTCTCTCTCTTTCCGATCGGAAGTGGGCGATTGGTAAATTGGGTGGGAATCGAGAAAGGCTAGGCTTTAGCTCGCCTTCATTTGTTTCCACATGCTTGGCAGGTTGGAAATGGTGGATGTAGCTGGTTTTTTTTTACCCCCACGCTTTCTTTTTTAAGTTGAAAAGGTGACTTTTTCCAATATGAAAACGCTTGAAAAATGATCTGGTAATCCACTTGTTTTCACACGGAATGAAAAGTTGGGATTCCTCCAACTTTCTTACCAATTTTATTACTGTTCAAAATAATTTAGAAAAAGAAGATCACCATCCCACTAAGAGAAAAAGAATAATAATAAAAAGCCTCGACTGATAATTTCCAAAGACGCCTTGATTCCTTTGTCCGTCTATTGTGATTTCGATCAGACAGGCGAACGAGGAGCAGTAAGTACTTCCACAAGGGCTGAATTTCAAAAGGGCCGGCTTCTTCATGCAAACCATAGGGAGCCCCGTCCAACCCTCGAAGTCTACGGGACGCCATGTGACAGTCTTGAAGCCAATGCAGGGCCAGGACGCCGGTCTGTCCCGGAAATTCAAGCCGGGCGTGCTGTTTCGTTGACTCCGGGAAGGGAGGATGGCGGGAGCGATGCGGGTTCGCCTGGTTTCGCTCGCCCTTTGCAAGCGTCCAATGTTTCCACCGTGTTGCTTCCTGCGCTGCTGTCCGGTCCGGTCGCTGGTCATCCCACCCCCGATCAGACAGAAGGGCTTCAAGAAATCTGGGGTGAGGCATTCCGGCTGTAGAAGTCAGGGTGGGAGAAGCCGATGGCTGCTGCGAGCTCTGGATCGCTGGGCAACGGGGAGAGGCCTTCGCTTGGGCACCTTTGCGCGCAACCTCAATCTTAAATCAGAATAGATCTGGAAGAGACCTTGGAGGTCTTCTACTTGTACCTCGAAAGCAGAAGATCCTATACTATTGCAGACAAATTGCTGCCCAGTCTCTTCTTAAAAACCTCCAGTGACCAAGCACCACAATGTCTGAAGGCAAACTGTTCCACTGGTTAATTGTTCTCACTGTTAGGCAGTTTCTCCAGGTTGCATCTTTCCTTGATTAGTATCCATCCATTGAATCTTGTTCTGCCCTCCGGTTCTTTAGAAAATAAGCTGATCTCTTCTTTATGGCAACCTCTCAAATACTGGGACACTGCTATCATGTGCCCCCTAGTCCTTTTCTCTAGCCAAACCCAAATCCTGCAGCCGTTCTTCATATTGTCCTCACTGTTCATTGTTAATTGTCCTCACTTTCTCGGCCAAAGAGGATGCTTCGGTCGGGATCTTGGGTCTTTCTGAGAAGCTGGAAAAATGACACTTGGCCGAATCGCCTCTCTGGCTGAAGTTGCTCAATCCGTATGAATGTGAATCGGTGCACTTACAGGGGCCGCTCCGCCTCCTTTCCCTGTGTTGCCTTTGGTTATCCTCATACAGGCTGAAAATAAACCAGGTCAGCCTGGAATAGGGGAGAAATTTAAAAGCGTGTGGAGAAGTAAGGATGGACCATGAGATGTCACACGATTACCGCTGGTATGAAAAATGGGTTCAGGTTGGCACGAAACAGAGATGGTATTCAGCAGATTCTGACCAGTTCTGGAGAACCGGTAGCCGAAACTTTGAGTAGTTCGGAGAACCAGCAAATACCACCTCTAGCTGGAGATTTTCACCTTCCACACCCATCAAGCCACGCCAACAGAACCGGTAGTAAAAAACTTTGAATCCCACCACTGGCACGAAAACATTTATTTATGAACATTTTGTGTTCTCTTCTTTCCCAGTAGCCAGTAACTTGGAAGAGTTTAGCAGTCACGGCTGTGATTGGAGGAGGGTTGCTAGGGGTACTGAAATATTTGAAGAAAGAGAAAGAAGCAGGTGGGTCATTCTATTGTTTTTTTTTTTAATTATTATTGCCGTGTAGAGATGGATTGTGCAAAGAATTGCATATATGACCAGTAGTGACTGTTGGGTAGTTTTGATTTTTTTCTAAACTGGTTGTTTCCAGATGAGTTGGGTTTAGCTAGGAATTCTGAGAGTTGTCATCCAAGCACATGAAGAAGTGGTACAACTAAGTGTACATTTTTGATAATTATAATTGTTCCTTACTACCCTGAGATATGTCTGAACATGTGTCATGTTTTTTTTACTTCTGCTTATTGTCCTTACCTTAAATTGATTTGCGCATATATAGGTATCGTAAATATTAAAGTTTTTTTCCTCTTCTATGTTATGCTAGCAATAAAATATCTGCTATGGTATAAAATTGAGATGCTGTAACGGTTGCTTCAAAAATCACTAAAGCAGCTGAAACAGTAAATGTACAAGCATTTATTGAAATGCTATCAGGAGCTATCTTACTTAAAGCCTTTGAATTTAAATACAATAGGAGAGAATACAAGTGATCTTAAATCATTTTCTTCGGAGATTTTGAAAGCTACTGGAAGCTTTTATGCCCAAAATAGATGAAGCAAAAACAAACCCAAAAAGGTTCTAAGAAGAGACACGTTTTAAATTGTCTCTAAGATAGGAAAAGAAAAGATGAAGAATTAGGAATGTATGTGTAGGAATTTGTGTTGAAATCTTAAGATTTTCTTCCGTTAAGGCTCTAGGCAGATAATCTAATTCTGTGATCAAATTTTAGCATTGGAGAGAGAGAGTGTCCGATCCATTGGAAAGCCTTTGTTAGGAGGCCCTTTCTCACTTGTTGATCACCATGGACAACCGAAATCAGACCGTGATTTTCTGGGCCAGTGGGTTTTAATCTACTTTGGTTTTACACATTGCCCTGACATTTGCCCAGAGGAACTGGAAAAAATGATACTAGCAGTGGATGAAGTTGGTAAGTAAATCCTGCTGAAACCTGAACTTTTAATTTGATTGGATTTAGCACCACCCAACTCCAGAGTTACTGCAATAATTCTCTATGTGAGACAGTCAGCTTATCCTTTAGTTGACCAGGAAATGACTGTGACTCTGGATTACCTTTTTATGATTTGGGCCTGTTTAAACTTCCTCTTAACCACAGAGCTAATGGAGAGCGGGTGATGGGAGAGAGGTCAAAGTAAAGGAGGAAAGGATCTGTATAGAAAGGTTTTACAACCAATTAAAACTTGGCTATATTCAGAAACATGGAAAAAGGGAAATGTATAGTATAGGAGAGTAAAGATGTTTAGAAAGGAGCCCATGTTTAGAAAGGAAAATCTCTGCATAAGAAACAGCAAGAAAAAGGAATCATGTTTACTAGTAAAAGGAGCTCAGGGTGTTTTATTTGTCCATAAAACCATCTTACAAGAGCATCTTCTTGTAGCTGGATTGAATTAAATTGACACTTCAGCAATTTTTTCCCCATCTTGGTCACTAAACTTTTCAACTGCATCCTTCTGCTAGTTTTTGCTTAGACTTTAATAGAAGCTTAAGCCTAATCATTGCCAAAAGCTCAATATTAAATGGAAGAAAAATCTAAGGCTATCCACTAACCATAAAAATTCAAACGATCACACTAGTTTTCCACATAGATTTCAAAGATGTTTAACTCCAAATTTACTCTATAGGTCATAAGTTGCTCAGTCAAATGAAATAAATATTTTTTTTAAAAAAAATGTCCTAACTAGTGCACAATCATTTAATAGCAATAGTAATAGCGTTTAGACTTATAATACCCCTTTATAGTGCTTTACAGCCCCCTCTGAGTGTTTTTACAGAGTCAGCATATTGCCCCAAACAATCTGGGTCCTCATTTTACCCACCTAGGAAGGATGGAAGGCTGAATCAACCTTGAGCCTGATGGGATTTGAACTGCCAAATTGCAGGCAGCTGATAGTCAACAGAAGTGGCCTGCAGTACAGCACTCTAATCAGTGCCCCACCAAGGCTTAATACTAATTGTAATATGATCATAAGGCTACCATTATTCATATAAATTATCCCTGATCCTAATGCTCTTGCTATTTTTGAATCGAATTTAAGGAAGTCTTACTGTAATCTCACTCTAGTGCCAAAAAATATTTACCCCAAATTTGGCTGACTGCTGACGTTAGTGTAAGACTAAATATAAACTCAGCATAATATTATTCATCACATTTATTTTTACTATAAACCATATGAAATTTAAACAAATTAAATTTACTAACTTGATAGTAAGAGTTAACCTAACCATAAAGATTTCCCACTATGAATAATACAGTAGTAATTCTCAGTTTGATAATACACCTGATAAACAAAGGTTAGAACTACTCTTAACATAAAGAATTCATACTCACCATCGTACTGGGTTTATCATGGATGTCGGTGTATTCTAATACTTACACTAATGTCATGGTAATATTGAAACTAACTTTACTAACTAATATCAGAGCAAGACTAACAAAGTCTATAGCAACACACCCTCATCTTACATTTTTAGAATAGATTCCAGGAATTTCAACGTTAATCTCACTTTATCACCTGTGAAATATTTGCCATATGCTTTGCTGCAAACCTTGATCCTAACTTCAATTAAAATTTAAGTCTAACATAAAAATCATTCAGATTTTGCCTTTTATCCTACCTTTTTTTGTACATTTATCATACCTTTTATTGTACATTAACTATAACCTTTACTTTATACCATAACAACATGTTACCTAGCCAGTATTGTCAGCATTCAGTTCAAAGAGTACAGTGCATTTGAGACTACCAATATCTGTAAAAAATCATCCTCATTCTGTCCTTCATCCAGTATTTTATATGAGAATTCAGGGAAGATAATCATATCCCTAAATTCTGCTTATCCCTTAAGGCCTGCCCGAAGTGGACCAAAATAAAAAGTTTAAATCCCCATCTTGGGAAGATGACTATGTATAGGCTTGAACAGATTGGGAAGGGGTACAGAATGTATTTGTGTTCAGGATTATCAAGCGTTTTAATCTAGGGGATTAAATTAAAATCTTGTATATAAAAACAGTCTTGAGGCTGATTGCTTGGGGATTAAGTATCATCTTTTATCATGACAGATAGTATTGCGTCTTTGCCTAATGTCACTCCACTCTTCATCACCATTGATCCAGAGAGGGACAATGAAGAAGCCATTGCCAAATACGTTAAAGGTAATCTTAGCATTTCTTTTTATTAAGCCATCTGTACTGTCTCCATTTTATGCAATTCTGGCCAGGTTCACTTTTTAACCCCCTTTTAATGCATTGGATCTTATTGATTTTATTTATGTTTCAAGAGTTTTCACCAAAGTTGATTGGATTGACCGGTACGAAAGAACAGATTGATCAAGTGTCTCGAGCTTATCGTGTCTACTACAGCCCAGGTCCCAGAGATGAGGATAATGATTACATAGTGAGTACATTTTCCATGTGTTTTCCCATCAATGGATAAAGGTTTTAGCCTGAGAGAGAAGTTTTATGGGTCACTGAATCAACAAAATGTGAATGAACAGTGAGCAAAACAGCCCTAGAAGTATACAAAACATTGGAAAACATTGGGAGGGGAGCTGAGAATGCGTGGCTTACAACTGAGCTACTTTTCTGAATGAAGTTGACAAAATGGATCTAAATGGAAACATCAGAATGATAAAAGGCAATTATCATAGAGAACATGGGAAGCGACTATATACTTTGTTCCGAACAAAAGATTTTCTTTGTGAGAAGATAGTATTTGGCCAAGCAATTTTTTTCTGATTGATAGGAAGCTGCAGTTTTGTGACCTTCCTTTATGTTGAGGAACATTTGTTGGAACGTTCTTAAACATGAGCAAGATAAAAATAAAATAAAAATGAATCAGAAAAGACCTTGTCATCAGTAGAACTGAAAACATTCTTTGATACTGAGGTTGGTTTCGGTATTCATAGCAATTTTTAATAAGGGCGTGTTGGGAGTTGAAAAATTTAGTTCAGGCTTGTGTCTTTATGCTTGCATGCCTTTGAATCTTGGTAACTTCTGGTACAAGTCTTTGATTTTTTTCTTGGCATTAAGTTTTTGAACATGTTTTCTAATGTATTATAGAGTTGGATAATTGTTTTTAAAAAGTGAAGACATTTTAGAGTATGGCTCAACTCCTAATAACTTTGGTGACACATTGATGCAACTTTAGCATACAAACCCATTGTCACCTTTGGCGTTGTTTCAGCTTTTCAGTCCAACTTGGACTGATGGTTTCTCATCCAACTGCTCAGCAGGCCCACTGGTGCTTAGCTTTTGAGCTTGGACAAGGCCAGTTATCTTCCTAAGGAAAGATAAAAATGGATAAGTATCAGAAGATAGACAGGAGGGGGCGCCAGATAATAAATGTCAATGGCCATAAAAGGCAAATGCCATATATAGAATAACTTTTAGCCTTTTAGCCTGTTTGGAGTTTTTTATTAGCCTAAATATTCATATGCATACTTTAAAGTATAAATCTCCAAGGTATCAGTTGTGGGCTCTAGTATTCACTTGATTCACTTTGGTTTGCCCAAAAGGAGTAGTTTGTTCATGAGCAAGTGGTATTTTATTTTTAATTTTTTTGTTTTTTAAAGTGACTTCTTGTTGCTGCTCTTGACCTGACCCAAGAAATTCAGTACTGTTCTTATGCCTTACAAAACATGTTGAATTTTTTTTCTCATACTCCTCGATTTTTACTTAATTTTTAGATGAAGGGGAAAAATTGATTCTAGGTAGCCTACTTTTCACCAAACACATAGTAGGACTTGTGTTCTTTTGTGGTCTTCTTATATAGGGCTTGGCTGCTTTTGTGGTCTTAATATCAGATATATGGGGCCCTGGTTTTTTAAAAAAATGTATTCTCACATTTACTGCTGAAGAAATATATATTTTTGGTACTTTCTTGACTGCCTATTAAAGACTTTATTAGAAATCTAGAGCTGGGTAATAATTCAGTTACAGAAACAATTTAGTGCTTAGCAGAATTATCTAATCTCAGAATTTCAACCTTATCTCCATCTCCTTTGTGTGTGTGTGTGTTTTTTTGCAGGTGGATCACACTATCATAATGTACCTTGTTGGGCCTGATGGCGAATTTGTTGATTATTTTGGCCAAAATAAGAACAGCATTCAAATTTCTGCCAGCATCCTAAAGCACATGAAACAATACAAGAAAGAGTAAGGGACTTAGTTTTCTGACTAAGCAAGTTTAAAATGCAGCTTGTGACATTGATTGGAGGAAATACTCATAGAGGTGGTCTGCTGCGGTGTCCTCTTAGTGCAGTTGAATTTACTAAACCTGTACCTACAGATTAAGACTCAGTTCTGAAGAGAAGCTGGATGTCTTTCACCAATGATACTTCATCTGGATATGCCTTAGCCATACAGTGGCTTGTTAATGTTAATGTTGATGCAGATTTACTCAGAAAGAGCCACCAAACATAAACCACAATGAGAACTTCTTCATGAGAAGTTCTTGTTCTTGACCTGCTGAAGAGCACCTGTTGAACTGACCTGTACTGAAGATACGATTGGGATTTATCTTCTCTCAAGTTTTTTGCACTCCTCCTAGGAAGCGGAGCTTCTGGTCCTTTCTCAATGAACATTTCCAGAGTGTCCCTTTTCATTTTTTAAACATTCAGTAGTTTACAATATGGCTGCTATTAAGCAACATGGCAGGATGGGAACCTTCACTCTAAAATCAAATGTGGCGCACAGATGATGAAATAAAGTGAAAGAAACTTAAACTGTGTTCTTGTCTTAAAATCTCAAAGGAGATGAGGTATAAAACAGAACCTGTGACTAATTAAATTAGATAAATATGAATAGAAGGCAAATGTATCTGTATGTGACTACATAAAATAGTTGTCCTTTATCATCCTCTCACTTAGATTGAGAATTAAAATGTTCATTGATTCATTTTGAACAGCTTGTATCTGAAAAGTCATTCCTTGGGAAAGTACCCAGCTAGATTTATTTTCCTTCAGACAGGCATTTTCATGTAAGAAGATTCTCCTAGAACTGAAATATCTTCTGTGAAGCCAGATGGGGAAAAAGTGACACTCTTCTTTAATCTAAGTGTCCATCAAGAATTTCCTTGGGTCAGCTTGCACCAAGTGCTTTGGGGACTTTGATAGAATTTAAGCCTCATTCTCAGCTGTTAAGGATTGTTCCATGCATAGATGGCTCTTCTCTCTACTCTGTGTGAATGTGGGAGTGAGAAGGATCAAGAGTTAGTAAAAAAATATATCAAGGAGTCAAGCAGAATATTGTTTTAAATTCCTTTAGTTTTCTTGAAATGATGCTTGTGCATACATTCCAGATAATAATAAAATAATAATTGTAGATTATATTTGTCAACCGCTTACTGCTTGATATCAGTTCATTAAAAAAGACTCAAAATTTTGTGGATTTTTTAAATCTATAGCTCCCAAATAATGTAGCTATTTAAAATATTAAGAAAAACACAATTGTTTATGAATGTGTGTTTTTTTCTGGTTTATTTATTGCTCTAAGTCAAATACTGGAATCAGGTTGGATTGCAGAAAACAAGTTCACAGTTGGATAGCTAAGGCGCAAACTGTTTTGCAAATTTTATTCAAAGTGAGAACTATATGATGTAAATTCTTGTTGAGCAGGTAAGGAAGAAGCTGCGCTGCAATAAAGTGGTTATCAAGGCATAATTAAATGAGTTGTATTATAAATTAATATTCAGCAGTTTGAATAATTGACTTTATATAATGTGACCTTGTATCTAAAATGGGGGTCTCCAATCTTTACAGCTTTGTGGACCGGAGGGGGGAGGGGACAGGAGATGGTTCCACATAAGCAGCGGGTACACACATTTGCAGTTTCAATTCCACAAGCAACAGGTACCCACCCTTTGCATAAATGGAGCTGTGAGTGCCTGCTGTGAGCACAAATGGAGCTGCAAGCACGAGCACCCCATCCTTGGCACAAATGTAGCGGAACATGCTCACCTACCTGCAGAGCCCGATTCTGGGCCATGGCCCAGGGGTTGGTGATCCTTGGCCTAAAATATGACCATGTGTACTAAATGATGTAACTGTATTTTTTTTTATCTTGATATATTAGGCTCTAGTAGAAGCAAAATTAACTGAAATTTGGTTGTATCTATATTTTTACCAGAGATTTGATGTAACAATATGAGAGAGTCAGTTTGATCTAGTATTAAGGCATCAGACTAGAAATGAGAGGCGATGAGTTCTCTTACTGTGTTTGGCATGAAAGTCGGCTGGATGGCTTTTGGGCCACTAACTTTCAGCCTGTGGTGTTAGGCTTGAGCGACAAGTCAGTTGGTCAATTCTTGTCGCAACTACTGGATCGATACTCCGTTGATCTGAAAAATGTGGACCCTGCACCTGCTAGATAAATGCTAGCAAAAAATGATTTAACAATATGATGTATATATTTCAGCCCCAGTACTTAGACCACGCCAGGAAATCTCACAGGAAGGCTAACGCTACTTTTATGGAGGTGGCTATAAGGACAGAACCTTCCAAGTTTGATTTCATTATTCTTCTCCTTATACTTCAGTGAATTAGGGAGGCATCTGCCTGGAATGTTTCCAAATGTTCTGGACTTTTAAAAAATGCTTCAGCCCTTTTTGCCTAGGCAATGATTCCTACCTATCTCTGCCAAGGTCATGTTGCTTACTCTCTAGTCTACAATATATACTGAGTAACCAGCTCACAATCATCAGGGCAGTTTGAAGTTCTATTATTTATAGGCAATAGTCATTAGACTGGGAGATAATTTGGACGAGGAATTGAAGCTGCTGAATAGTACAGTCAGTTCTTCTAATACGCAAAAAATACTTTGGCCAATACTGAAAAAAGTACTAGCTTATGGTAAGAAGATACCAAATACTGATATTGCCAATTATGGAGAAATACAGTCTATATTATTGGTAGTCCTTGACTTATGATCATTCATTTAATAACCATTCAAAGCTTTGCTGACACTGACCCGTGACTGGCCCTTACAACTCTCATTGTGTCCCCATGGTCACATGACCAAAAATGTAGGTGCTTGGCAACCAACAGGAATTTACCACACATACAGTGCCAGGGATCACACAATGGCCACTTACAACCATCACGGGGATTCCAACAAGCAAAGTTGAGGGAGGAAGCCAGATTTGCTTAACGGCCACGACAAAACCTGTCTATCTGGTGTTCACAGAACAATCTGTCACTGAATGTCCATAAAACCAAAGAACTGATTATGGACTTCAGGAAACATGGACAGGACCACGCCCCACTCATCATCAACGGAGAACGAGTGGAAACTGTCCCTATGATCAGATTCCTTGGCATCCATATTTTAGCTGATATCTCCTGGTCCCCTAACACCAAGGCCATAGTGAAGAAGGCTCAGCAGCGGCTGCACTTCCTGCGGGTTCTCATGAAGAACAATCTGGATAAGAAGCTGTTGCTGGCTTTCTATAAAGCCTCTGTGGAGAGCACTCTGACATATTGTCTGGGTGTGTGGTATGCAGGCTCCACAGTTGAGGACAGGAAAACTGTACAGAGGGTGATAAACACAGCTCAAAAGATCATTGGTTGCCCTCTGCCCTCCCTGGAAGACTTGGCCAGGTCCCACTGCCAAAGCAGAATCAAGGCCATTATAGAAGACCCCTCACACCCTGGCAACTATCTTTTTGACCTGTGGCCATCTGGATGGTGTTTTAGGTCAATAAAATCCCACACCACCAGACTAACAAATAGTTTCTTTCCCTGGGCCATCCGAACTGCAAATAAACATGAAGTCACTACCTTATTAAGATGTGAAAAGATGTGAAATCTCAATACCCCATTCAGATGTATAATAAAATATTACAGTACAATCCATCTCTTGTGTATTATACTCGGCTAAGCGTTACAGTCAGTGTTGGATGTATATTTTGTGTATATTTGTAGATATTGTACTCTCAAATTGCAAATGGAGATGTGGGTACTCTATCTTTCTTATCTTCATTTTTAAGTGCTTTGGTTTTATTATATTGTGAACAGTTGCTGGGGTGCATCCACAGTTTCGTTGTCCTTGTACAATGACAAAATTAATCTAATCTAATCTAATCTAATCTAAAATGGGCACCGCTCACTTAACAATCTCATTGCTTAGTGACAGAACTTCCAGTCCCAATTGTGGTTTTAGGTCAAGGATAATCTGTAAATGACAATGATTAATGGAGTGTTTGAACTATAGCTTTTTTTTTTTTAAGTCATCTTATCCCAAAACCCAGTTGACACATTGCAAGAGAAAGCATAGTACCTACATTTAAATGCCACAGCAAACAAAATTATGAGTGCTAATGAATGTCTTGAGTCATAAAGGATATAGCCCAAGCAAAATGAAGCTACTGAGAAATGGAACAAAATATTGATGAGGAAAATGAAGATGAAATTATTGTGTCAGAAGCAAGTGGGTGTTTGCTAGATAAAAGCATAGCTTATCAATTGGAAAGGATAGAAGAAAAACAGCTGGATAATTGGTCTATGTGGGAATACATATCCTCAGAATATGAGTTACGAGTTGTATTTTGAAAGGGTCTCTTAAATAGCAGATATTGAGCTGGGGAGCCCAGAAAGGAATTGGAATATGAGATCCTTTCAACTTGCTTCCACTTACCAACTAAACAGGGAACGTTAATTGTCTTGGCCAAGCATTTTAAACAGATTCTGCTTTCAAAATCTTGCTCTGGAAATGTTGAGGCTGTTGCCAAGTGTTTGGAAAATGGGGCAGACACACTTCTTGTGATCATCATTTTTAAGTATTGTAGGACCGGCGTTCAAAGGCCCTACACATGATAGTGCCATTGCCGGTTGTGTCTGCCTTTATAAAGAATAGGTTCTTTTAGGGGGTGTGGACTTGACTGGAGCTTTTCTTAAGCTAACCAGCTTATTCTTGCTCTCTGCCCTTTGGAGTTTCACTTTTGTCAGCACTTTCTTGGCTCAGGCCTTTGGGGATCTCCTTACACCATGGGACAACTGCAGCATTCCAAGGGGGAAAACAAATTCCTTCTGGCACGCCTTCCACTTTCCATAATGTGCTGTAAATAACTGGGGAGTCAAAGTCAGTGGGAAGGAGACAGATCCTTTCGTTGCTCTTCATCTGCCTTTCCAAGTCATACCTTGCTCAGTCAGAAGAGGACACTCAAAACCATTGATAATTATGAAAACTTGCCAACTGGTTGGAGTGGAGGCGGGGGGGGGATATGATGTATGGAATGTTATACAGATAAAATGCTTCACATAGATTGTTTTTAGAAAAAAAACAGAGCAGTTACAAATCTATAAATGAGGCTAAAATTAATACTCTGTTTAAAAAAAGTGGAAGATTCTGTCATTTCCTAATGCAGTTGCAGAGCTTAATTGCTCGGCAAACCCTAGATCAATATTCCTTCTAATTAATGTTAAAACCTACTACATCACTGACTCATAGTGATTCCTTGATTTTCCATCAATAGATCTCTGTGACAATAAAAGATCTGTATTTTTTCAAGATTGAATGGAAACTAAAGATTTCATCTCTAGACATTGGTCTATGATGATATGTGTGGTGCATGTTCAGTACTGTATATAGATAGGAATAGGAGGCTAAAGGGCTTATTTGTGTAGTTACAAGGTGAGGGAAAGGATCATCGTATGTATGTGAAATTTAAGGAAAACCAAAAAGGAAAAAAAAACAAAACCAGAATGTCTCAGTATTGTGGGTGTTCCAACACTGTGGCTACTAGGTCAGCCCAGCCCATTCACAACATGCTTGCTATAGGTTATTTTCCTGCTTATAATACACTACTTGTAACATTTCTCGTTATCACAGGATGACTATTGACAAGGTTTAAAGATTTCCCCTGTCCAGTCATGACAAGACAGGGGCGGTACTCATCTCCGATTCTCAGCCAAGGGAACCTGCATTGTCTGAGACACACTTCCATCATCATGTGGCCAGCATGAAAATATGGAACACAGTAACCTTCCTACCAAAGCAGTACCTATTTATTTACTCTCATTTGCATGCTTTCAAACTACTAGGTTGTCAGGAGGTGGGGCAAGAATGGGAACTCACCCCATTGTGTGGTGCTTGGGTCTCGACAACTGAGGCTGTTGGCTTTCTAGCTGACAAGCCCAGTATCTTAACCACTGAGCCATTGCGCCCCCTTCAATAACTATTGCTAACTATAACTATCAACTATTCAGTAACTAA